TTAAGACAAGGTCTATCACTGGCCTAGAGCTCACCAAGTAGGCTAGGATGACCAGCCAAGGAGCTCAAGGGGTCTGCCTGTTTCCATCTCCCCAGCACTGTGATTAAAAGTGTGCACCACCATACTTAGATTTTTGTTTTTGTTTCTTTTTCATGGGTTCTGGGAGGTCAAGCTTAGGTCCCCAAGCACTTAGCACTTTACTTATTAAGCTCTCCCCAGGCCCCTACATATTAAATTTTTGAGTGAGCTTTTTCTGAGATCTTGGTTTGGCATGCTTCTGTTTTGGGGGTTTTGTTATCAGTTTGGGTTGTTGTTGTTTTTAATGGAGCTATATATCTGCATTAATTGTCCACTTGATAGATTCTAGAATCACCTGGGAGATTGGCTTCAGCGATGCCTGCAGGGGGTTATCTTGATTATGTTACCTGGGGTGGGAAAGCCAGCCCACTGAGCTTGGTTTCCCTGGGCAGGGATTCTGAACTGTAAAAACTCAAGAAAAGGAACCAAACACTAGCACTGGTCTCTCTCTGCCTCCTGACTGCACATGCAATGTTTCCAACTGCTTCAAGCTCCTACCACCAAGGCTTCTCTGCCATAATGGACTGCATCCTGGAACTGTGAGCCAAAATAAGCCCTTTCACCCTTAAGTTGCTTTGGTGAGAGCATTTTATCACAGAAATAGGCAAAAAAAAAAAAAAACTAATACAGCATCTTAGAAAAAGGTTTTTTCCTGAGAATGTTTCCAATATATCTTGCTTTCCCACAGAGCAAGTATTGAGTGCCTAAAAATTAACTTGTACTCAAACCTCAAAAACAGAGACAGAGAGACTAGAGAAATGGCCCAGTGGTTAAGAGAACTTGTCTTGCAAGGACCCAGGTTCACTTTCCAGCATCCACATCAGACAGTTCACAACCTCTTCTAACTCCTGTCCCAGGGGCTGCCTCTACAGGCACTTGCACACACATGGCACACATGCATACACTCAGGTGCACATTATTCAAAAAGCAGAGACAGAATACATTTCCCCAATCATCTTAAAGACATCAGTGATGTCAAAACTCTGAGTTTTGAAGCTGAACTTCTGTGCTCTCTCCTGCCTCATAATTCCAACAGACTTTTCTTCATATTTGTTCACAAGAAGATTGTCATTTTTCACACAGCCTGTCAATAAAATGAATAATAGATTTTAAAACCAAGGTGCACTGTCATGGTTTTTTATCAGTGCTTCAGCAAGTCCAAATCATTATCTCACCAGGTATTATCAAAACTAGTTTATGCATAGGGGGATGGCTTAGTTGGTAAAATGTTTACTGTGCAAGCATGAGTACATGAGTTTGAATCATTAGCATCCCAGTAAAAATTCAGGTTATATGTGGCTCTGTGTGCCTGTAACCCCAGCTCTGTGGAGGGGGCTGAGGGAAGATTTCTGGCTGCCAGCCTAGCTCCAAATTCAGTGAAAGACTCTGTCTCAAGGGAATAAAGTGGTGTGTGATAGAGCAGCACATCAAATGTAAGCTCTGGCCTCTGCAGCAGATGTAGGTATGCAGTCACATGCACATATACATACATACATTCATATATATATATATATATATATATATACATACATACATACATCGGGATTAAATTTAGGAGATGGCAACTAAAGAGGTGAGGACAAGAATTCCAACTGATGGCAGTAGTTGCAACTCCCAGAAAATGCCCCAAGCAAAAGAATGCTCATAAGGACAGCCAATGCTCTCCAAAAATGGAATCTTCATAAAACAAATGAGTCCTAAGGCCAATAATCTAAATCAACCTTTAAGTAAAATCTACCATTTTCTCTTTTTTTAATTTTATTTTTTTATTTTATGTGTATGTATGTATTGCCTGCATGTAGGTAAGTGCATCCGTGTTGTGCAGTGCCCACGGAGGTCAGAAGAGGCTGTTGGATCTCCTGGGACTGGAGTTACAGACAGTTGTTAGCTGCCATGTGGGTCCTGGGATTCGAACCCGGGTCTTCTGCAAGAACAACCAGTGTTCTTAACCACTGAGCCATCTCTCCGGCCCCTAATCTACCATTTTCTAAGAAATATATTCCTTGTACCTATCTTTGAGAAATAAAGTATAAAAAGAAAAATGTAGGGCTGGCAAGATGGCTTAGGTAGTAAAGGAGCTTGCCCCCAAGCCAGACAACTGGAGTTCAATTCCTGGGACCCACATGCTAGAAGGAGAGAACTATCTCTGAAAAATTGTCTTCTGACTGTCACATGTATGTTGTGTCATGAATGCATGTGCACACACAAATAATAATAAAGTAAATTAAAAATGTTTAATCTCAAATTTTTTTTAGTCCATAAGTATAGTTAATCACTTAACAATCCTTTAAAATTGTTTACATTTATTTATATATGGGGTGGGAGGCACACATGTGCCACAGCATACATAAGGAAGTCATAAGACAACTTGTAAAAGTCAGTTTTCTCTTTCCACTATGTGGGTTCTGAAGACTGAACTCAGATCGTCAGGCTTGGCAAGAAGCTCCTTTGCCTGCTAAGCCATCTCACCAGTCCCACTTGACAATCTGTTCTGATTCCGTATAAGAATGGATGCTCTACTCACTTCCAGTATGGTACCTACAACAGTAGCAAAAGGACACAACTGACAAGTGTGGTGGTACACACCCATAATACCAGCACTCTGGAGGTCAATGAAAAAGGATTGCAAGATCAAGGCCATCCTGGACTACATGTGAATTCAAGACTGATATGGAGCACATTGTAAGGTCCTATCTCAACAATCCCCTCCAAAAAGTAGACGACATCATAAATATAGTCTGTTTCTTCACCCTGATTAACTGCCCTCAAAGACCACACACACACACATACACACACACACACACACACATACACACACACACACACATACACACACACACACACACAGACCAATGAAGCTACTCTAGTTAGAATGGGGAAATATATGTTTATTGTCTGCATTTGGGGGGTTTAACTAAACCATAACCAGTAGGAAGCAACTTGCAAATAAAGTGAATGGCATATAGAACACAACACAAGTCATGGTGAACTCTATAGCAATGTCTGTTTTATAGATGAGAAGTTAAAGGATGCCAGAGAGATGGCTCAGAAGTTAAGAGTACAGGGATCTGAGTTCAGTTACCAGTACCCAAGTTGGGAAGCTCACAACCACCTGTAACTACAGCTACAAGGTGTCTTTCGGCTTTTGAGGACATCCAAATACACTTGCACACACACACACACACACACACACACAAATAAAAAATAAAAACAAATCTAAAAGAAGGAAGTTAAAAGATTTAAGCTAAACACTGCTGTGATAAGAGAGTGAAACGATTTTCAGGAGAAAAGGAAAAGGAAACCATTGCACAAAGCAATGCTCTAGCCATTTGCACTCTCCAGCAGGCTTCTTCCCTTAAAGGAAATGGAACATTTTTAGGATAACCCAACTGATCAGGTAGAACAAGTAAAGTCAAAATGTCCTTGTAATTTTTCCCTATTGTGAAATTCAAGTACATCACACATAACATTATTGTTCCAAAAGACAAACTCCTTTATGATTCCTCACGCTCAGGTCTTCATTCAAACACCCACAGGATGAAGCACTAATGATTTTATAGGACTCAGGGACACGTCTGTGAACTATTATTCTGCCTGTAAACCACCTCCCTTCATTCCATTCCTCTTTCCTCACATATGTAAATTAACATGTCTGATCTGGAGTCCCCCTACCAGCCACCACAACCAAATTACCCTCAAGGGACATCCATTGCCTTGTTATTTTTGTCTCAGTATTGAAAAGGGGGAGGTGAGGGAAAGGAGTGGCTATTATATTTGCAAAATTCAGAATTCCTCTTGATTAGATCTCTGGCTTGCTGGTAAATATTTATTCCCTGACATTCTGAATATTTGGCTTTCTTAGAGCCAAGCTATGGAACAATGTTTCCAAGATAAATTGCTTCAAATAATATACGCCGAGTTTTGAAGGGAGCATTTGGTCAAATTCTAATATCCCCCCCTTGGGATCCAATTCCAACCTCCAACAGCAGATCCAACCCTGCAGAATAGAATTTTAAACGACACACACACAGCCATGTTGCCTAATGAACACAGTTCCCTTTTCCTCCTACTCTGCAGCACCTTATAAGATGCTGAGCACTTAAAACAGAGAGCTTTCTTTTCAGTAATAAATTCATTATGCAATATATAAACTATATTCCCCTTTTCCCCACCATTAAAAGAAGAAAACCCAGTATGTTTCCTCCCAAGGTTGAGCTGTAACTGTCATTACTTAGACTTATGAATCATAGCATGATTAATAAGAATAAATAGCACATGCATGTTCCATAAGCTGAAAATGTTGGCAGAGAAAACCCGCCATAGGGCTTCTGGGTCCCCAAACAGGATCATCTATTGATAGAAATTGCTCCATTTGCATACCTTCCTAGAATTATAAAAAATATTTTTAGTTCTGTGGCCACTAAAACCTTGAAAGAAAGTCTTTCCATTTTTATTTCATTAAGATTGTACATATGGTTTTATTCCAGATCTTCCCCAAGATACAAAACAAGAAGGGATGGAGAGGGTTCACTGTGATATTGCAGTCATCTGGTTGCATTAGGCTCAAAATCCGAATGTCGGGGATGTGTATTTGTCGTATCAGCTTGAGCTGAAGGCATCTGCCAAGAGACTATTTTCACTATTTGGCTGGTGCCAGCCAGAATCCACTTTCACAAACCTGCATACTGATGAGATCTGGAGCTCTCGGTTATTTCTCCCCATTTCTTTCTCATAATACCACTTCCCTCTGCAGTGGAGAGAAGCCATTTTACTAATTCATAAGTACCCTGACTATCCAACCACCTTAAGAAATTTTACTCATCAATAACAGTCAACTAAAAGCAAAAGCGCAACCCACAGGGGTTAGAGGGAAAGACAGGCAGCACTGATAGGTATTGATTGGTGAAACTCTGATTACTCACTGAAGGCTGCCACCGCGAGGGCCAGGGTGACAATAATGGAGAACCAGGACACCCACAATGCCTTCTTTCTGTAGTTCTGGGCTTCATGAGGTTTCAGCCGGGTGCTGCTTTCTAGTAAGCCTGGCAAGAACAAGGAGAAAAAGAAGTAAGACATTCCTATATGAAGAAACAGCCAGAACTACAATATCTTGACTGAAGATTACAAACCAACTAACAGCCCATAGGCCAAGAAGTGTTTTGTTTGACCCTTACTGTATTTTCACAATTGGAAGATTGCATATGAAAAAAATAAAATAAAATAAAGACTTTTGTCATTCCTTAAAAAAAAAACGGCCCTGGCAATATAGGATGTTTGTTTCTGTGGGGTAACAGCAGTTCTCCCCTTTAGAGGAGCCCTATAGACCCCATCACTGCCTGAGAGGTCATACCATGCCATTCTCTGCACTAAGTCACTTGGCTCAGTGGAGGGTGCTCCTTCCACTAGGAAAGAAGCATGGTGACGGCATAAGCATTTGGGCTCCTTGGCTGTGGACACTGATCCATTAGTACAGTCCCAACAGCATTATGGGATTTGCACAAAGCTTCCAGGCTCATAAATACAGCACATTTTCTCCTCCTTTCTTTTGTACCAAGAACACATAATAAATAAATAAACAAATAAATAAATAAATAATAAATAGTTAATTTTAAGTCCTCTCAGGGAGCTAGGGAAATAACTCATTCAATAAAATGCTTATCACACAAGCATGAGGACTTGAGTTGGAGCCCCAGAACCCACGTAAAATAGCCAGGCATGGTGGAGCATGCTTGTAATCCCAGCACTATAGGAGCAGAGACAGGAAGATCTCTAGGGCTCACTGGCCAGCCAGCCTGGCCTACTTGATGAGTTCCAAGCCAGTGACAGACCCTTACTAAGAACAAACGAAGGTGACCAGGACCTGAAGAATGATACCTGAGCCTCCACCTACATGTAGACGCACACACACACACACACACACACACACACACACACACACTTAAAATAGGATAGTGAAGTAAGCCTGCTAAAGCCAGAGCTAGTTTCCTAGGAAGGCCATGAGTAAGGCACGTTTTATTTTTGCTTCCCCTGCTTTACACATGACAAGTCCTTGACAACAGCAGGAATCTGTAACAAACCCCAGGCAATGGCCAAGCTTCAACTGCCAGCTATCAGACTTAAACATCTTCAGGCTAATTTCAATTACTTCTTTCTTTTCCTTGGAAAACAAGTGCCATTTCTTAGTTACCAGAGAGTCAAATTTTCAGTTATTCATTCTACACAAGTAGAGCTGACCATGTCAGCTCTGGCTGCATAAAGTGCCACATTCGTTTCAGAGGTCAGGCAGTCTCTCACATTGGCTACAGATGATTATAAATTGGGAGTCAAAGCATAGATGCCATTTGTAAAATGTCAGAAGGTGAGACTATCACATATGAACACCATTTATTTGCCAGACCAACCACATGAAACTACAGAGGTTTCCTTCCTCTGTAAGGCATGTGGCTGACACACCAACAAGACATGTTAACAGAAGAAAAAAACATACAAATTTACTTAAATAAAGGTCTACTTGTTCAGCTGGGGATATAGTTCATTCAGTAGAGTGCTTTCCTACTATGTATGAAACCCTAGGGTCTATCCCCAGCACTGTATAACTCAGGTGTTGTAGCACACACCTGTAATCCAAGGAGGTGAAGGCAGGAGGATCAAAACTTCAGGTTCATCCTCACCTACATAAGGAGTTTAAGTCCAACCTGGGATACATGAGACCCTGTCTCAAAACATAGTAATAAACACTAATATATTAGTAGACAAGGAGGACTAGAGAGAGAGTCCTACACAACATGGAAGACTTCAGAAATGAAGACTCTAGAGCAGAAGGGAAGCTATTTTCATGCTCAGATTCAATGAAAAATGCATAGCCCTGTAGAAATGAAGTTCGATAAGAGGGTATGAATGATCAGCAACAAGCCAAGGAAGGAAACTCAGCAAGGCCTATCTGTTCACCTTGGTATTCCTGTGTGGCACTCTGGTCTTGAATGTGTGACAGGACCCCTTCTGGAATGAGGTCTTGTGATGGGTACACAAAGACAAGGTCAGTCAGAGTTTATCTGTGACCAGCTCTTACACAGAGAATCAGGGGGAGACTAGAGTGATAGTTCTGGGTTTTATGACTGTCTTTGCAAAAAAGAGGTCCTACCTTCTTTTCTTTTAAACATTTGGTGGTTTTAATTTATTTAATTTGTGTGTATACATGTGAGTACATGCTGGTGTGTGCGCAGGTGCATATACAAATGTGTGCGTGTGTGTGTGTGTGTGCATGTGTGTGTGTGTGTGTGTGTGTGTGTGTGTGTGTGTGTGTGTGTATGTGTATAGGCCAGAGGTTAACCTCAGGTATTGTTCCTCAGGTACTGGGCACCTTATTTTTTGAGATGGCGTCTCTTACTGAATCTGGAGCTCACTGATCCCACTAGGCTGGTTGACCAGTGCCTCAGAGATATCCCCAACTCCTCAGCACTGGGATTACAAGTGTATGCCATCACACCTTTTTCACCAGTAGTCCTGGGACTAGTGCTCAGGTCCTCATGTTTGCAAGGCAAATATTTTAATGACGGAGCTGTTTCCTAGTTTCTGCAGCCTGCCTTGGGGTAAAGTGGGGACTAGAAGAAGAAGGACAGGAGGAGGCTTTTTTCCTAAGGCCTTCCAGTTCGGAGTACCCAGCATGCCAAAGTACCATGCTTTGGTGCATCATTTCCTGAGCCCCGCCACTTCCAAAACCTGTATTCTGTTAAAAAACTACAGCAAAGATGCCTAACCACCTCAGTCCAGGCATTCCTAAACAGGCCATAAACAAAACAAGCCATCTGCAGAGAAGGATGCTTTGTGAGCAGACAGGCCAAAGAACATTGAAGTGAGTGAAACCTGGGGGTTTATGTAGAACCGGAGGGTAGATAAGAATGCAAGAAGGCAGATTCCACCCCATCTTTACCATCACACTGGGAACCATCCTCATATCTTCCTTCATAAATTCATAAATGGGAGCTAGGGGTATAGCCTGGTTGATGTAGTGCTTGCCTAGCATGTTCAAAGCCCTGGGTTCCATCCCTAGCACCAAATAAAATGGGCATGGTGGTACACACTTGTGATCCCAGCACTGGGAGGTAGAGGCAGCTAAATCAGAAGTTCAAGGTCATCTTCAGTTATATCATGAGCTTGAGGCCAACCTGTGCTAACTTCAATAAATAAATAATTAATGTTCTTAGATGGGAAAACAAAGCTTTCTCACTTGCCAAATTTTGCTCTAGGTATGGTAGCTTCAAATGATAATTCAATATGCTCTTTGTTGACTTCTGCCTTGGCTACTGAAAAATACTTCATTTTACTTTCAGTTGCAATCACTCTTATGTCCAGCAAAAGCTATAACCTAGAAGAAGCAGATCTTATATATACATCTCTAAATATTTCCTTTCTTTTTTTCCAAATGAGTTTTTTTTTAAAAAATCATTCAATTTAAAAAGCTGCTTCGGGGCTGGAGAGATGGCTTAGCAGTTAAAAACACTGACTGTTCTTGCTGAAGACCTGGGTTTGAATCCCAGCCCCCACATGGCAGCTAACAACTGTCCTTAACTCCAGTTCCAGGGGATCCGATAGCCTCTTCTGTCCTCCTCGGGCATTGCATGACATGGGTGCACTTACCTACGTGCAAGCATAACACTCATACACATAAATAAAAATAATAAATAAAATATTAAAAAAATAAAGCTGCTTCAATGAGTAAAGTATTTGCTGTGCAAGCAGGAGGTCCTGAGTTCAGATCCCTGAAACAGAGACAGGAGGATCCTGGGCCTCACTGGCCAGCAGTCTAGCTATAAAGGCAAGCTCCAGATTCAGTGAGAAATCTTGTCTCAAAATATAAGGTAGAGAGAAACTGAGGAAGACACTGGACATCAACCTCTGATCTCCACATACACAAACACTGGTGAGCACTCACATGCGCACACACACATACACACACACACACACACACACACACACACACACTTTTCATCCTAACCCATTGATTTTTCAGAAGTGACGCTGTACCACTTAAGCACCAACTCAAATAAATGGTTCATTTGCCAGGCATTCTGACAGCACCCATTTCAAGAGCTTTACACACTAGGGGCAAAAAATGGTTCCTTTGAGAAGTCCGTTTACTTTTCCATGAGGGACAGCCATGACCGTTCTGCCACATTTATTTTTCCTTCAGGAGCTGGCTGGGTTCAGTAGCACACCTGGTCCTGACTACCCTGGTAGTGCTTCTCCAGACCTCTCCACTAAGAGGGGGCTAGCACTCTCTGAAGGAGATTCAGGCAGAAGTCAGAAAGGGCTGGGGCACCTGCTATGGTGGCTTTTAGATTTTCTGAGCCAGTATGACTGGAGGTTCTTCCATAGATGGGACCTTCTGTGTGGCTTCCCTAGATTATGAGATTAAGGGGTATGAGGGAGAATAGTCATTGTAATGGAAACACTGTGTAACCGTGTTTATCTCCTTATCTCTCCTTTCTAAAAATGCAGCAGACAGGCCTGGGAGACGGCTCAGTTGGAATAGTGCTTGCTATGCAAGCATGAGGATCTGAGTTCGATTCCCAGAACCTACATAGAAAGCCAGGCATGGTACACACACTGGTATTCCCATATCTGGAAAGGGAGAGGCAGGAGGACCCCAGAAGCTCACTAGCCAGCCAGTCTAGTAGAATCAGACTAGTGAGAGATTCTGTCCCCAAAATAGAATGGATAGCACCTGAGGAATGACACTTGAGGTTCACTTCTGACCTCCAAACATACTTACATACATATACCTACACACACCTACACATACATACACACACACACACACACACACACACACACACACACACACACACACACACACACACACACAGGCAAATAGCTGATACCAAAGATGGGAAACTTTCTACTCCTCCAAGGAAAACAGAATGTAAATGCCAGAAAAGGCTCAGCTCAGAAGTGTATTTCTGTGCCCATGCCACAGAAATGGGAGGGGATTCCTAAAGGATTCAGTAAGCTACACTTTATAGGTGGAAGCCAAACACTCTGGAGAGGCAGACCAGCCTGACAGAGACAAAGGCCCCAGGTCATATGCAGAGCTGCGGCCTCCCTACCCACAGCTAATTCCACAATGGAATTTTAACATGTTTCATACATTCCTAATTTAAACCTGATAATACCAAGCTTAGGGATATATAAATGAAGGAGGCAGGTGCAGTATGAAGAGGTTATTCTCATAGTAGATCAGGTACTTCTCACTGCTGTCCCCTAAATTTATCCAGCTTTGCTGTTGTTCCTATTGTCATTGTTTGGAGACAGAGTCTCACTCTGCAGTCAAGACTGACCTGGAATTTAGTATGTAGCCCAGGCTGGCCTCGAACTCACAGTGATCCTTCTGCCTCTGCCTCCCCATGTTGGGATTCCAGGCGTGCACCACCACACTGAGCCATCCAGCTTTAATTCTCTGCAGAAAGGGGGATTTTTATTAACGGGGATCTAGAGGAAAGTTGTTTGGGATAAAATGATGGAGAAGAAAAACTGGATATTAAAGGAGGGAAGAGGTAAGGCCTGAAATCAACTGGGCCTATTTTTTGTGTGGTCTCTGATGGTCTTAAGCCACCAGAGCGATTACTTACTTCCTGAACCACAGGCTCAACCAACTGGCACAGTAGTGTTGGGGCATTCTGAGCTAGTGGAATTCTGGGACCAGCCCAGTCACTTCTAAGTGGAAAACATCTCTAAAATTCCAAGTCACCAGATTATAAAGCATCCCTCCAATAGGAGTTAGAACCCATCTGCTATAGCATCCCTAACAGCTCAGGAGGAAGTCAGCACAAAAAATAACAACAAAGATCCTTTTATGTCCAGAATGCCCATCCCCCACATGCTGTAGGTATGGACCTAGCAGAAAGTCACTGCATCCTGGGAGGTCTGCTGTTGAGTCTTCCTCTTCTCTGTTCCTATCACTTGTGGGAAGTCACAGCATTCAAATCATTCCCAAGAGATAACGAAAAATGATATAGGAAAGATGAAATAACACAAACATCCAAAATATTACAGTCTCCCCAGGAGCCTTCTGATTTGTTTAAGAAGTATTCCTGTATCCTTAACTCTTTGCAGTCAGGAATGGGTGGAACAAAAGAATGTCACAGCCACTTGCAGCTAGCTGGTGATGCCATAGGATCCTGGGTCCTGTGGGGGACAGGATCCATCCTAACAGAGAGGCTGTGTATGATACAGAAGCTTTCACACAGTGACAGTTTATGAACAACCAAGGCTTTCAGGAGACAATATAATAGAAAATGAAGTTCATTTGCCCCCGACAGAAAACCTAAAGAATGTATTTAGAAGAGGTTTTTATTTTTACACTTAAGCATGATCTCTAAACATTGCTAAATATTAATTTACCCTAGCATGATCCCCACCCCACCACCCCACCCCGGTCTTTTGGCACTGGTGAGGAGAAATTGACCAGTTTTTACAGAACCCGCAATGCTACAGAATTAAGCTCAACCCAGGCCATCCGTCTCTTCAATGCAAAATGTTTAAATCTTGCAAAATGAGCTACATGGGCCAAAGGTAATTATCACACCCCAGAATTAAACTGCGAGGTTTTTCTGGGTTCTGGGGACGGACTAACCCTCTGGTTTCCAAGGCTATCGAGTTATGAGGGAACAGGAGAAGAAACTGCAACACCGGTGCAGAACTCGTTGGAAGCTGGAGCGGCTCCAGTTCCCGCAGAGCATCTCCGCCGCCTCTCTGGGAATCTGTTTCCATGTCATTCTATTTCACACGCTACAGTTCGGAATCTCTAAGGAAGAAAGAGATACTGCATCCCAATACGAAACCGGAATATAAAGATGTACAGGAGGTACTAAGAATAGGACAGAAACCTGCTAAGACTAAAATAATACAAGCCCTCTACGGCTTACAGATGAAAGCTTCCGAGGGGGGAAAAAAGGTAGAAAAAAGGGTAGAGGTGCACTAAGCCGGCTCCTCCGGAAGGGCCTGACTGCAAGAATCCAAATCTGCTATTAGAAATTTTAGCTGAACCGTTGATAATTTTCGAGGGGTCCAATTCAGAAGCAGCGAGAAAAAGGAAAGGTGCAGATGCGGCCCTCTGCGCAAGGAATCTAAGCCGAGAGGCCACGAGGGCGTGATGGGAAAGGAGAGAGACGCGGGATGAACAGGGGAGCCCCCGCAATCCAAGCGAGCCACCCTACGGAGAAAGCAGCTGTGTGTAGTGTAGAGAGCTCGACCTTCCAGGAGATGCGGAGTCCAGGGCCTAGGTCCGGGCAAGAGCTGAATACTAGCTCTCCAGTAAGTACCAGCTTCCCGTAGCATCCACGCAGAGGTTGGTGGCGCGAAACCAAACGTCCCAACCTCCCTGCCTGCATCCTCACACTGAGGATGGTAACCGCTGTGACCCGGGACCCCAGGAAGCGTCTGTTCCGCAAGAGCTCAGAGGCACAAGGTACTAACTCGGCAAAACGCTGCACTAACTCGGCAAAATGAAGTTGCCCGGTGACCGACCTGACTAGGCGGCGGGACGCATGGAACCGGGATCCCCCAGTTCTGAGCTGGACCTCCTGGCCCGGGAGAGAGACCAAGAGTGGGTTCCGCAAACTTTTCCGGCCGGTACTGGAGAAGGCTGGCTTAGGGACCCGCCGGAATCCGGGACCTGAAAGGGGTCCCAGGAGGTGCGGTCGCAGTGCTCGAGCGGATAGTGGGAGGTGGGACTGTGGCCACCGCTCTCCGCACCTCCGGGGGAGGTCCAGTCTCCGCGCGCGTGACAAGGCGCCCTGCCCGGAGTCTAGCGGACAGGTGATTTCCGAACCGCGGCTGGGAAGGGGCTCCGGGCGGTGGTCACTCACCTCGATCTTCCAGCCCGTCGCTGAACTGGCCGCTCTCGCTGATCCGCGGCTGCTGCTCCTCGTCCGGCTGCAGCGAGGAGCTCAGCTGGGCCGGGCTGGGGGCGGTGGCCGCGGTACTCAGGGACGCGTGGCCCCGGGGCGGCGGCAGCGGCAGCGGGACCGCCGGGCCAGCCGGGTTGCGGCGCTCGCTGCAGGCGGCCGGCTCCATGGCGCTGGGGCTGCAGATCCCCGAAGCGGCAGCGATCGCGGCGGGGATTCGAGTCTGAAGTGCCAGGGACCGAGCGCGTGGATTGGGAGGTCCACCCGGAGCGCGGTGAGCCTCAGGTCCACCGCTAGCGCAGCGGGTGACAGAGGCGGGGGCCGCTCTGTCGCGGCTGCGCCCCGCACCCGGGGCAGGTGCGGGCGGCGAGGATCGGCCCGGAGGCGCTGAGCCCTGGCACTGAGAGACCGATGTACCCGGGCGGTGGAGAGGGAGGGACCCGGACGGTTCAGGCTTGCGGAAGCAAGGGACTGTCAGGGGGCGTGGGGACCGGCGGGCGGCTGGCGCAGGGCTTGGCGAGGGCGTGACGGCGAACGCGCCCCACCCGCTTCGCGGATTGGTGCCCGGAAGGGAACCCCTCCACCCTGATTCCTCTGTGGTCCGCGGAGCGGGTGGCCCCGCGTGGGCAGGAGAGAGGGGATCAGGGCTCGTTAGGCATCTTTCTCTTTGGGAGCCGCGCAGGCTACCGGGTCTCCGCCGGTCTGGGCCAAGACCCTCACCGCCCATCCTGGGAAATCAAGATTCACCTGTCTCCAAGTCTGTGGGTTTCCTGTCTTTTAAAAGCTTTAACTCTGCTCCCAGTTTCTCTGGAGCACCAACTTAGCCAAAGGTTGAGGTGTTGCACTAGCGGCTTCCTGCATTGCAATGGTCCCTGGGCCTTTCCCATTCAATTTCCGCAGCAGCTCTTTTCTCTCTTGGAGCATCCCGAATCCGTCCCCCTAGAAGGCTCCTTGCCTGCCCCAACGCGGTCAATGCTTCCCACCTCTGACAGCCAAGTTCATACTCTATGCGGTGGGGCTAGTCTCCCCAGCAAAGCCTCAAGCTGGTCCACTCGCTGCAGGCCCAGCCGGAGGCGAACAGGGGAACCAGCCACCTAACAAACAGATTGAGCACGCATTTGATGGCATACACATCCAAGCTCTGGAGAATCTAGATTTTTATCTTTAAATTGGTATCAGTCTCTAAATTTAATCCGTGTACTCTAAAACGACAATTTCCTCATTTAAAGAAATCCGTCCTATTTTCTTTGACGAGTAACCAGTTTCCTTCCTCATTTCGGTTTTGCCGATGTTCGAAGCCAGGGTAAGATTTAAATGTCTGCAAGGGCCCTGGGCGAAACAGCGCTAGGAAGGAGAGGATCTCGCTTTATTTTGTTACTGATGGGCTGGGATCAGATCTGAGTTGACCCTGGCTCCCTTTCACTTTTTTGAACACTAATTTCAACTATGCACTGACAGCGTCGAACTAGGTCGTTTTAAAGGTCCCTTCTTGTACCAAAAGAAAGGGAAACACGCTAAGACTACTTGGCTGAAAACAACTGTGACAATTTACTCATTAGTCCTGGTTCTGCCCTAGGAAACTGAACCGTTGTTCCTTTGCAGGTCCCGGTTTCCTGCGCCTTGGATTCCGTTCCAGGCTACCTCATTGGGTATCCTGTCTGCGGCTCTTAAAGAATCACCTGGCCGCCAAGAACAAAAATACCCGAGGGTTGCAGCCCTGCTAGAGGTCGAATAGCTCTGTGCAACAAGGCTGGCTGAAACCTCGGTTTGTAAGGACTCCTTCCCCACCTTATTCTTTCTTACTTGGTTTTCTTTTTCATTGTGGTGCTGGGGTTAGTGTCGCCAGGCTTTATTTAGCACTGAGCTTTTGTATTTTGACAAGTATTTATCCCTTGCTCTTGGAAACTCTGATTCAATTGATCTGAGGTCTCGCTAGAAGTCTTTGAACCCCCAAACACCACACACACACACACACACACACACACACACACACACACACGTCTACAGGAGCTATCTAAAGGTAAGTGTCATTGTTTTGGTTCCACACTTTGTAGTCCAGTGTATCACAAACTGAAGGTGGAGGTGAACAAACTGCGGCCCACAGTACCATTCCCCACGTATCCTGCCAGAGCAAACTCAGTACTTTGAACTGACCAAAGGGGGTTCATAATCGAGAGCTTTCTGAGCTTCTGCCTTTCTTGCTTTGGCTTTACACACACACACACACACACACACGCACGCACCAAAAAAAAACAAGGGAAATAATATTAACTTACATTATTGGAGGGGAGACTGTGTGCCTGGTATCTTATTGTTTCACTTGTATTGCCTCTGTACTCAGCAACCACTGAACTCACTTTACAAATTAACTGAGGTTTCTGGGTAAGCTCTAACACTACCCACAGCAGTAGCGCCCCCTAGGGGGCATTTCTGAAAACCGCAGGTGCTTTCATTGGTTACAGCAGTAATGTGAGGAGGGGTCCATCTACATTTAGTGGGGGATGGCTTAAAAGATACATAAGCCGACCAAGACCTTTGGTTCTGTGAAAATGTGCTTAGAATCACATTGCTTTAACCATGTTTTGTATGTGAACATAAAATATGTTTACACCCTTTGAATGCATACCAAATTTTATGGAAATACAACTATTATTTAAGTGTAGGGTAGATGGAACTCATCATTTTGAGAAATCAGAACACTGAAGGCAGTTACTCTTACAGCATCTGATACAGCAGTCAATACATCTGTGCCTATCACATGCATAGCTACCATAGGCTGAAGAGTTCCATGTGTGTTCATGACTATGTTTACTAAACTCTTATTTCAAAATTCCAAACAGAAAGAAAAAAGATAAGGTAATATTCCAGAGTCTTGTCTTCTCCCAGCTCGACATTATTAGTAGGTGCAAGCATCTCAGTACTTTCTCTCTGACTCTCACACAGCCCTGAGTGAGCATTTATCATAGCAAATGCACATTAATTATGTATGGTGCTACTTTTATTCCAGTTATAATTTAGGTCGTGATATTGATTTTTAAATTACTAGTATATGTAGTATCTATGAATTCATTTCATAATCACAACAGTGAATGATACTAAAGAATTTTTTTTTTTTAGACGGGGTCTCCCTGTAGCCCCAGCTGTCCTGGAACTCACTATGTGGACCAGGCTGGCCTTGAACTCACAAAGATCCTCCTGCCTCTGCCTCCCCAGTGCTGGGATTAAAGGTGTGTGCCACCGCGCCTGGCAAGAATTATTATAAAAGAAAGAAAACTGGAGTTTGGAGCAATAGCTCAGCAGTTAAGAGGGCCTACTGCTCTCCCAGAGGACCAGATTTTTGTTCCACAGCTCACAGCTGCCTGGAACTCCAGCTCCATGGGATCCAACACACTTCTGGCCTCCTCAGTCACCTGCATTCATGCATGCATACACACACACACACACATACACATAATTTAAAATAATCAAATCTTTTTTTAAAATAAAGAGAAAACCATTTCAGCAAGAAGTTCTGAAGAAGACATGTAACTAAATGTAACATGGTATTCTGGGTAAGATCCTGTAGGCACAAATATATCTTATGTTAAAAACTAAGGGTACCTGAATCAAGCGTGGACTTGAGTCAATATCTCAATTATGGTTGCAGGAAATGTACCTTAAGGCAAGACACTAAGAACAGCAAACTGTGAGCAGAGTACAGAGGCGCCCATAATACTGTATCAATTATATGCAAACTAAAAACTGCTTTAAACGGTAAAGTTTACTTTAACTTATTTTATTTTAGATAGGGTCGCACGCAGCCCAGGCTGGCCTAGAACACATTGTGTAGTTAAGCATGATCTTGAACTTCTGATCCTCCTGCCTCTACTTCCCAGGTACTGGGATTACAGGCATGCATCACCATACCCAGTTTATGCAGTGCTGGGAGCCAAACCCAACATTTTATGTCCAGGGCTTTTTGCATGCTAGACAAGCACTCAACCAATGGAGCCACGTCCCCAGTCCTTCTTTCACAAGTCTTGAATAAACACAAGCAATGCTGGAAAGCTGGTATGCCCTGGAGTGTGAGTTTTTCAAAGCAGGAAGTATGTGTATGAACACATGCCTGCAAGAGTGAATAGTAAATTTATAAACTTTTTTCATAAAAAAGAAAAATATAAAACTAGGTCATGACAACAGAACACTTAGAGGAATGACATATTTATGAGAAGCATTATTTATTTTAGAGGCTTTGTATGCAAAACATTGTGCGGTCAGCCCTCCATGTCCATGGGCTCCACACCTGTGGATTCATCCAACCACAGGTCACAGTAAGTATTTAAAAAATTGAACTTCTGCCGGGCGTGGTGCGTGCCTTTAGTCCCAGCACTCAGGAGGCAGACGCAGGCGGATCTCTGTGAGTTCAAGGCCGGCTTGGTCTATGTCGTGAGTTCCAGGCCAGCTGGGGCTACAGGAAAATTGAACTTCTACTGACATTTTACTCTCTCTCTCTCTCTCTCTCTCTCTCTCTCTCTCTCTGTCTCTCTCTCTCTCTCGTGTGTGTATGTGTGTGTGTGTGTGTGTGTGTGTGTGTGTGTGTGCACGCCTGAGGACAACCTTAGACATCGTTCCTCAGAGTCTTCTATTTTTTATTTTTTGACAGGATCTCTCATTAGCCTGAAACTCACCAAATATGCTAGACTATTTAGCAAGTGTGCCTTGGTGCTCTCTCTCCTCTCTTCTCTCTCTTCTCTCTTCTCTCTTCTTCTTCTTCTTCTTCTTCTTCCTCTCTCTCTCTCTCTCTCTCTCTCGCTCTCTCTCTCTCTCTCTCTCTCTCGCTCTCTCTCTCTCTCTCTCTCTCTCGCTCTCTCTCTCTCTCTCTCTCTCTCTCTCTCTCTCTCTCTCTCATCTCCACCCTGCTCAGCTTTTTTGCATTAGTTCTGGTCCCTGTTCTTGCAAAGAAAGTACTTGCAGACTGAGCCATCTCCCTACCCCAGGGACTCTTTTCATTATTCCTAAATAATACAGTGTAACAACTATTTCTATAACATTTACATTGTACTAGGTGTTGTGAGTGTGATGTGATTGTGATTGTGTCAACTTGACACAATCTAGACTCATCTGTGGAAAGGCTCAGTGAGGGATTGTTTAGATTAGGTTCCTCTATGTGCATGTCACTGGGGGAGGGCTTATAGAGTTCTTAAGCCTTGCTGGATCTCAAGTCCCTCTCTTGCTTCCTGTGCCTGCTTTAAGTTGTGAACACTCTGCCTTCTGGCTCTGCTCCAGCCACATCCTGCCACCGTGCCTCCCTGCCATGATGGACTGTATTTCCCCTGGAACCATAAGCTCAAATAAACTCTTCCTTCTGTAAGTTGCTTTGGTCAGTGTTTCTTTCACAACAGAAAAGCAACTAATACATTGCTCTTGCAGAGGACCCAGGTTCAGTTCCCACCACTCACATGGCAGCGCATGACCA